CACAATTTTTGGATATCTAGCACATGTTTAACTTCTTGCAAACGTCCTGCGGGGCTGTGCCCGACTCGAGCTCCTTGATGATCTTGTTCAAATCTGTGTCGACAAACTTCTCGCATTTTTGTGTAGCGAATGGGATAGTGTGAAGCAGACTTTTGCATTCTTTGTTTACAGCCTGAAGTACAAATAGATGACTAACATAAAATACCTTTGGGACCAAAAATTTCTACATTTTCGATATCCTTGGTATCTTGATCAAGCATAGGCGCAGCAGTTTTCACGCCTATTTCGCACATATCACATTCCAGCGCATTCAGCTGAGCACCGGGAACGGCTAGTACAGCAGCCACAACAACGGCTAAGACAATGAAGGTTTGCATCTGAAATTTGTAAAAGACAAATTACCAGTATGTAGGGTGAAAAGTCAAAAGAAAAAGCGGGTTCTTAGATTTTTACAATGGAAAATAACGCACTTAACAGGAGGCAGCTCAAGAAATTTTTTCTTCAAAAGAGTAAGGAGTAAACACGAAACAAGGTTATATCGTTAGCATGTCATGCGCTAGTCAAACGGAACTAACAAAGGAAATTCTAATCTGAAGCGCAACCTGTACATGAGCTTAGTAGCATCGAATAATGCAGCGATAAGTTCTTATCACTAAGCATAATTCACGATGACGCCTTCATTGCTGGAAGATTCCACTCGATCAAGAAGGACAAAGAGCAAGAACAAACAATAAAGTTGGTCTTTGATTTTGTTCTCGCGTTGTCAACTTCGCCATTTTGAGTTTCTGCAAAAGAGTCCGTTTGCTGCCTGAAAAGTTATACCCTTTGCACCAGAGACAAGAATATTAGTTACAATTCTAAGGTTTTGCTCCCTTAATAAGATAAGTCAGTCACTAATTAGGATGTCTTTTTGCAAAAATGGTGAGTATCAAGTATTAGAATTAATAGACAATCTATAGGTTAGAGCAGCTAAGGGTTTTTGAAAAAAATTGTTCATGCACATCATCTGACCCTCAGTGTAATAAGTGCTCAAAAAGTGCTCAAAAAAGTTTTTACATTGTCGTGTCATCGCACATTTGGCGGCAAGAACAGCTCAGAGTGAGGATGAGTCTTTTTTCTCCGTGGCGAAGGTGATTCTTCTTGCTAACAAATAAAGTTAATGAAATAAAGTATTATGAGTGCATTTTAGTGAGTAACTTGTAGGCGCCAAGCCATTAAATTAATCTTGTAATGTTGACAATCGAAAGTATGGATGCAAAAATAATAAATTTGCGGTGGTAGGGTTTTAAAGGTGACAAGAATAGAAGAAGACTTGAACTTTGATGACTTTTTCCCCTATTTTAGATCCATTCTTTTATTTACTATTCATGCCCTTAGATGATTGCCGAAGAAGAAAATAAGGTTCATTCGGAAGGATACAGTAAATAGATAGTAAATCTTTCAAAATGTGGTTTTCCCAATAAAGGCTAAGAAAATCTGTCTCTTGGTGTGCTTCGATTCATCAATTTTGGAGATACTGAAATAGGAATACTAATCGATGCTATTCAACGTTCTCTTAGTTCACGACTGCTATTTTGCCCTGTTAAATCAAAGAAATCAAACCCAAGCGGCAATGTCGGTGATTAAAAGCAGTAACCTATAAGCGTAAGTTAGAGTACGAGATTCCATTGGGTCCAAAATTGTGGTTTCGCCACTTCTTCAGTTCAGAGACTTATAACTAGAACTCTCTTTGTATATAAATAACAGCAGATAAA